GTTTTGTGTCCGTTCTAATGTTCTTCGTTCTTTTTTTTTTGGGGGGGGGGTTTTAGTGCCATCCCTATCTACATCTCTGTTTCTTTCTTTCTATCTGGTGTTGAACGCCTTCTCATCCCCCACGAGGCGGGGAGCGAGCGGAGGTGTGCGTGCGTCGTTTGCGAGGGCGCGCCGTGTGGTCGTTATGGCGGGTAAAAAGGGCGCGCCATCGAAGTCGCTGCAGCACCCCAATTCACGCAGGGTGAGGCAGCTGGAGCGCCAAAGCCGCAGGGAGGAGCGGCGGAGCGAGCGAGGCAAGCGGCAGCGCGGCCAAGAGCTGCTGGAGGCCGCGCGTTTTTTTTGGTTCCGGGAACAGTGTCTTGCTCTTGGTCGCCCGCGCTCCGCGTTTTCCCCCGAGGAGGCGCAGGCGTTGGCCCACATCTATTTGGAGCGGAACGATGTGGAACTTGCGTCGCTTCGCTCGCTGCGTGCCCCGCCCACGGGGCGCATCAAGAAAATCGAGGCACTGAGGGCCAGCGAGGCGGCCGAGTTCGAGTCCGCCAAGGGGATGGTCGTTCCCGACCTCGGCGACGGGGACCACGTCGAGGTGCTCACCGAAATTTGGGACGGGCGCGCCGACACGCTTCATCTTGTGCCGCGCCGGCGTCTGACTCGCGCTGGCGCGCGTTCCGCGCCGACGGCGCTGGCGCCGGAGCTGAGGGCGCGGTTGAAACCGATCGAGGATGTTCGCGAGACGGCGGCGGCGGTGGCGCCGAAACGCGCCCTGAAGTTCCAGGCGCGGAGCAGGACGCAGTCCGTGAAAAAATCCGCGAAACCAGAGGAAGTCGCGCGGCGCTCGAAGATGAGGGGCGTTGCGCGGCAGCAGCGGCGCATAAAGGAGGAGCGCGCGAGGCTCCTGACCTCCAAGCGGGGCGAGTAAGAAAATGGTGCTCTTATTATTATTATTGTTGTTGTTGTATTTGTGTGTGCTCCCTGCGGCGCGGCGCGCCTCATTGTTCTCGCCATTTTTTTCTTTTTTCGCGCGGGCCTGCCGCCACGACTTGGGGGGCGCGCGCTGCTTGTCGTGCGATGCCGCCTTCTTTTTTCACCCACGGACCATCGCCAAGGAAGCCCGCCCCTTGTTGGCGGCAAAAAAGGGGAAGAAAGTTGCGGGCAAAGCTTTGTCGCCGCGGCGGCCGGGGGCGGAAGCGCTCAAGAACTGCCCGTGCAGGGCACGAAAGGCGAAAACAAAAAGAAAAAACCCGGGCGTCACGGGTTTCCCAAAATTTCACGGAGTTGTTGGGCTGCGTCGCTTAGTAAAAGTCGAAACGACGATGCCGCACAAGGGCCGCTGACCGCTTTGCTCCCACCGACGACGAAAGGAGGAGGGATCACTTTTAGGAAAACAAACGCCTCTTGACGAGGATAGAAGGAGGCCCCCGGAAAAAATGGTTCAGCGGTTGGTGAATGAGGGAAAGAAAATAAGCGACCAAGGCGACAGGATCGAATCCGAGGTGCAGGACGGATTTGTTTTCAGTGCGCGGTGTGGAGGAAAAGCGGGCCGCTACGGGAATTGAACCCGTGACCTCCTGTACCCAAAACAGGAATCATACCACTAGACCAAGCGGCCGACGCCGCGCCCCCCTCTCACGCGGGTGAGGAAATTGAAGGAGATCCATTACCTGAAAATAAAGCAGACTATCGTTCTTAGCCAATTTCCGCCGCGAGTCGGCAGCACCGTGGCGCAGTGGAAGCGCGATGGGCTCATAACCCATAGGACGTTGGATCGAAACCAACCGGTGCTACATGTTTTCGGGCCCGCCGCGGCCACTTCGCGGGCGTGACTTGCGCCGCGCGCCGTGGACAGATGCTTCCGGAGGGCGGCGCGGGCATCGCAAGACTTCTCGCCAGCGCGTGCGGGGGGAAGGTGTTCCTCCGCATCCTTTTCCATCTTCCTTCTTCGCCTGCAGGGGGCGAATTTCTTTTTTCCCCAGCGGGACCGAGGAGGCTGCCGGGCCAGCGCCCCGCATATGCC